CAGCGGAAGAGATACTCAAAAATTGATAATGACTCGAGTAAGATGCTTCAGAAAAAACACCAGCCCCAAGAAAGATATATGCGTAAAGATAAAATGAAAAAAAAAAAAATGAAAACTTAGATATATTAAAAAAATTGATGTCATTGATCGAGATGAAACTTAAATATTAAAAGACATGAGAACCGATGAAAATTGATCTACAACTTGGCATCGACGTGAGAAAAATATTTGAGAATCTTGCAATCTTTGTTGATAGTTGGGGGAATGGGAACCCAAGTCCAAATACTCCGCTTACTAATGACCCTAGCACATTGATTCCGCGTTCACTTTTGCATCCGGTACTCACTTTCCACCCTAAACATTTGCACTAAAATCTTGGAACGCAAGATCCTTTTTGTTTCCCATGCAAGTAGAAATATTCTCTAGCTAGTCCAAAATTTTAGCGTCAAAGGTTTAAGTCAGGGGCATCATAAACTTATATGTAATTAATCCAACTAAACTTTTAAAAATGTTCATTAAAAGATAAGTTGACTCATTTAAAAATATTAAAATCTATCAAATTGAGTTGATAGTCTATATCAATATTTAAAAGGATATTATTTTTTATAGTATTTTTGTTTTCCCTTTTAGTTTTTTTTAGATTATTACATCCTTCAATTTCTTAAGAAAAAAAAATTAATGTCTTATCTCACATGAAAAATCTCTCTAGAATCTTTTGATAACTACCCATTTCATTATTATTTTTTATTTTATTTTAAAAAGACTAAGAGATACAAAGTGTTTCTCTCCCTAATAATAATAATAATAAGACTTATTAATAATAATATCTTCTGGTGTGGTTTACCCTAATGGAGTTCTTATGGCGTTAAGCTCACCAACATAAACCTACAAGTAAGGTAAAAAATGATTTTGAAAATTTCCATTGATTTTTCTACGAATGTTGAAATATTGACTCCCTAAATAGTGCAGCACCAACTTGACACCCTTTATATTTTTAATTTTGATTACTAAATTACATAATTAATTGTATGGATCTCTTGTCTCTCATTTTATATATGTATCTCTCTTTTGGGTCTTTGAATGTCAATGAAACATTTTATTTTTTTTCTATTCAAAAACTCTCCATCCATCCAAACATCCCTCAATAGGTCCCACCCCATCAAAGCTCGTCACCGTTCATTAAGTTAAAAAGTAAAGGGCATTGGTTGGGCCTGGTCGTTCTAGATGCCAAAAGCTAAGTAATCTTTTCAACCCCATGTCGCTTTATTTGGGTATAAAACACTTGTGGCACTTCCGAAGAAGGTTGAAGCCAACACAAGAATAATGAGACGCTCTGTTTCACTTATAGTACTGGTCCTCATTGTGTTGGCTGTGACAAGGCCTAGCCTTGTTGTAAATTGTAGAGTCCTAAAGGCCACTCATCATGAACCTGTGAAAGATCTGCTACAGGTTCCCACGACTTCAGCAATGAAAGAGAAAGCCAACACTGATGATAATATAAGCACACGAGTTTTGATTGATGGCCAAGTCCACGCCATGTCTTCAGGGCCTAGCAGAAGAGGTTCGGGTCATTAACAACACAATGTTTCAGTTAATGATAACTGGCCTGCGTTGATTTCTTTACCGGTTTACATATCATTACTAATATTTTCTCTATCATACTATTTACTGTAACATAATGTATAGCTTGTACATAAAATTATGGAATTGTGTAAATTTTGTCTATATGATACTTAGTTGTTGATATTTTCTAATAGCAAAAAAATACCCCTTAATTCTTTTTATTGCACATATTAAATAACAACTTGTAAGCTTGGAAGATGAACACAATCACAAACTCTCGCAACGGCACTGTTTAAAAGCATCTGATACTTTAATAATCTAACGTAGGGGTGCTGTTAGTACCACCATCGGGTATATTTGACATTTTTGAACGTGTAATGGTTTTAGGCTTTTAGCATCGGCTATAAAGGGAAGAAAAATTTAATACGTAGATGAACCAATCAAATATTTTATTCGACTCATGTCGTATGCATGGTATAACGGAACAAGAGAGTTGTTTTGTTGAGTCAATGTACCTGTGTGCCATAGAGAATAAGCGTTTTCACAGGTTTTCACTCAGAACGGAACAATAAATTAAAAGTTAATCACATGAATAAAGATTTTTTTACACCAGTAACCAATCATATCTGTTCTTACCAGGGATCGGTCGTAGGGACGATCTGCTGGGCAAGATTGGTGAGCCTCCTTTGCTAGATATGTTCGTTGTTCCAATGTTGGGGTGGTACCTGCAAAAGAGACTCCGATGCTAAAGTTAGTGTTTGTGGATGTATGAGTCTCGTATAAGTAATGCACGTACCTTTGTGTGAATTAGGGTTTCACTGGGCCTTGAACCCGAGATCAGTTATGACCTATTTAGACATGGGCCTTATCTTGGCCGATGTCGCTTAACGTGTGTCCGATGTCAATTTGTGCTGTAATGCCGAGTTCGAGCTCGACTTCGCGGTACGGATAATACAATATCTTTTAATAGTATCATGTCATTCACTTATTTCATAAAATAAAAATAAAATTAAATAATTTAAAAGATATGATTGATTGTCTGTGAAAATTTTTTTACACTGGCAATGTATAGATGATTAACTCATAAATTAATAAATATATTCAAGCTTGATCACCATTAATTAGCTAGTGAACCGTATATATATATATATATATATATATATATAAATATATATT